GCCTCGGCCTCCCCGGGGCGCAGGGCGCGCCCTCAGCCCGCGGGGCAGCGCCGACCCCCGGCCGTCACCTCTGCCCTCGGGCGCGCTGGCCTGGGCTCTTTGGGCACTTGCCTGTTAAAAGAAAAAAACTCTGGAAAGCAATCTGAGTCACTAAGTTGTCTGAACTTTGGGGTAGCACAAAGCGCCGTTCATGCGTCTGCGGTAAAGGTGAAGGACTATAGATACATCCGAGCGGGGCTGTAGGCGTTGGTGTTACCAACAGCCTGCTCTAGAGTTGGATGAAATGACACTGTGTGCCAGGGTGTATCTGTGAGGCTAAAAACATGTTTCATGGTTGTGCACAAAGTTTAGGAACAAACACAACCTAATCGTGGGAGCCTCCCTGCCTTCCCCTAGCCTGATGTTCCCAGGGGACAGATTTAAGCCTCATGAAATCCTAGACTTGAGATTTGGACAGATGTGGTGCTGCTGAGCTGTTACAGAGAATGTATAGACCTTTCTGAAGAATGCTGCTGAGATACAGCTTCTTTGGGGCAGCAAATTCTGTGTTTCTGAAATGCTTTCACTTGTTTTACAGATTTGATGAAAAGGAGAATGTATCAAACTGCATCCAGCTGAAGACTTCAGTTATTAAAGGTATTAAGAATCAGCTGATAGACCAGTTTCCTGTTATTGAACCATGGCTAAACCAAATTATGCCAAAGAAAGACCCAGTCAAAATAGTAAGATGGTAAGTTTCTTTTCTCTTATCCTTTGATTCCAAGGTGATCGGATTGCTTTCCTTACATGTTTATTTTGTATAGCAGATGAACCTAGTGTTTTTGAAAAGCATGTATCATTTTTCAGTAGATAATAATCCGTGTTGTGACCAAACCAGAAAGTTTGCATGTGCTCATCATGCTCTTGAAGGCTTGCTAGTAGGGTGTTTGAGAAAAACAAAAATGCTGCCTAGTAGTGAATGTGCAACATAGTCTGGGATCAGCCTGTTATTGAAGGGAAGGGTTCAGCTTTATGGATATGCAAGCTCAAACTTGTTTGGATAGCTTCCAGTAGTACTTTTTTACTATTTTTGGGCTTCTGTATATAATCTGGACTATTTTCTTTTTTTTTTTTTTTTGAGGGTAGTATATTTTTGCTGATTCATTCTCCTTGTCCATTCTTTGTATTCCATTTAAAAAAAACCCAAAGAAGTGCAGTTTGTGAACAGCTGGATGTTTCTCTGTAGATTTTTTTTTTTTGAGGAGAAGGAAGTGTGCAGGAGGCCAGTGTTGAAGAACAAGCCATAAAAAAAAGATAGTACTTTTAATTTTAGATTTTCTTGCTAATTGACTGCCTTAATTCTCAGATGCCAAGGTAGACCAGACTCTCTGAAGTGAAATATTTCATTTAAACTATAAAAGGGTTAAGTAGCTATTGGAATAATCTTTTTTTTTTTTTTTTAATCTTGCAGTCATGAACATATAGAAATCCTCACTGTGAATGGGGAGTTGCTGTTCTTCAGACAAAGAGAAGGGATTTTTTATCCGACACTAAGGTTGCTTCACAAATGTAAGTTTCCTGAGGGTGGTGGTGGTGGGAAGAGAGGGATGAGTGCAGGATTCCACAGGACTTCTGTAGAACCAAATTAAAAAGAACTTGCTACTTACATGCATGTATATATTCCAGAATAGATCTTACAGATACAGTATACCTTCTCAACTGTAATTTGTTGCTTTGCTATTTCAGGTGCCTATATGGATTATTTCCTGCATAATTATTGTAATGCTACATGTTAAGCAGTCTAAACTTTGATTTCTAAGAATTAAATTGTGCAAAGCTCTGCAAAAAATCTTGAGAGAGGTTTCCCTGGGACAGAGATCTACATTTCCTGGGTTTGGTCCCTGTCTAGTCTTTCAAAGCCTTCCTTCAAACCTTTTTTGCTTCTTTCCAAATACTTGTAGGTTCTTACTAGAAAAATACTCTTTAACTGTGAGTTTAATGATGTAATGTGTGCTTGTCTCCTGTGAGAGTTTATGCTTTTTACTTTTTACAATTTACTCTCTTGCATTATTTTTCTTGCTGTCTGCCTGATTGTATTACTCTGGTTTGGATGAGCGTAGGTGTCCCTAAAAATGTTATTCAGTCAAATCTCAATGTTTGAAATACTTCAAGAAGGCACGGAGGATGGTTTGGAGAGCTGACAGACTTCATGAATTTTGTCCATCTTTGCCTTTTTAGTCCTGTCAACATTAAACTATCTCTCTTTCACGTAAGAGGTTGTAAGTGTAATTTGAGGGTTTTAAGACCTCTTAGTATGTAGGCACGTGTGTGATTGTTTGCATTGGGGGAACTTGTTAAAATTGTTACTCAGTGTATGGGTATGTGAGTGTGTGGGAGGTGTAGGCCTGGTGTTAGATTATGCTTTGGTTCTGAGGTGAAAGATGCAGTCTGAGAGAACAGTACTTGTGTCCTTTTGGGGCAGTACAGCCCAGCGGGAGCTCTGGTAATGGTTTCTCAAACTTCCTACCCTCACAGTGCACTGTATATCTAATTGCCCCGTCTAAACTGACTTGATAATGAGTTATTCATGTTGTTGTACTGTATCAATTGTAATGCTGTCTCTTTCCCCTCCTAGACCCGTTTATTCTACCACATCAGCAGGTTGATAAAGGCGCCATTAAATTTGTACTAAGTGGAGCTAATATAATGTGCCCTGGCCTGACGTCTCCTGGAGCAAAACTTTACCCTGCTGCCGTTGATACTGTTGTTGTATCCTTCTTTAACTATGAATTACTGCTTGCTGTGAGAGGAGTTAAATTTCTGTTCTTGTGTTCTCAGCTGATCATAATCTGAATTGCTTTAGGTTTTAATGGTATTCCGTGGAATAACTAGTAATCTGAAAAGAGCTGCAGCAGTTCAGGTGTTATTTGGCAAGGTTAAAATTGTTCTTTTTTTTTTTTTTAACTTACTGTGCTATTCCAAACCAAATAACTATTCCTCCTATGCTGTTGGGTGGAATGCTGTTTTCTTAATCTAATTGATGAGCGGAGCTCCTTTGTGATTATATTCAGAACTGTGGAAATAGATGAGGTACAGTGTAATTTACCCTCTTCCTCCTTAATCAATTGTGCATCTCCTTCAGTTATACAAGAACTTGCTCCTGTTCCTGGGGAATTTGGAAAGATGTTTAGGATCTGCTGTAGCCAGGACTTGCTCTCTCTATCTGATGAAATTAGCATATGTGAAATGAGGAAAGTATGCAAATTCACTCCTGCTTGTTATATTACCGAGAAGGGAACCTTGAGCAAATACAGCATTGATAACAACAAAAGCAGCACAGCTTGGTATTAAGTTAGAAGCTGTAGGAAAAGATCAGCAGTTAGCATCATGTGTTGCTAAGCTTTGAAAAGGACACGTCTGATTTCAGTACTTCTGTTTTTTTAGATTTGTGTCTCAATTCTTCTGTACCTTGGAATCTAAAATGGCCCCGCAAATGTGCAGTTTTGTTCCAGAAAGGGTGAGACTATCATCTCTTGGTTAGGCACAAAGGAAGAAATGGAGTGTAGTGCTGGGAGATCTTTTTCTGTAATTGCTGTTCGAAGTTCATAAATACATGCTTTGTTCTACACACTGTGATTCAATTGTTAAACACAGTGCATTAATTTTCTTATCTTTAAGAACTGGAGCTCTAGAATTACTAAAAGGGTAAAAGTTCAACATGGAATTTTGAAACTTTGGAAAGTCGTTTCCTCACTGTTTTTACTTTTCTGAAATAGTTTTAAAAAAATCTGTTTTCCTTAGCGATAATTTGTAGGCAATAATGGCAGAGGGAAAACAACATGCATTATGTGTGGGAGTAATGAAGATGTCAGCTGAGGACATGTAAGTGTGATAAAACTGAAATATAACTGGTCCCATGTCATTATTCCTATGTTAGTTTGGAACGTAAGCACCACTGTCAAGGTTACTGCATCACTGTTGCAGCATATGTTGTTCAAGTACAGAATTTTTTAAGATTTCATTTTGCTGATTAATGTTCAGGGAAAGAAGAGGAGGCAGGGAGTACCTTTACTTACTTGTTTACCAAATGGAATAAAATAGTTCTTTTTGCGTGAATATGGATTTTGAGACTCACAACATTAGTACTACTGCTGAATGTTAGTATTTCTTGCTCTCTATCATACTTCCTCAAAGATCTTGCTGAACAAAGAAACATTTGTATAGAGTACTTACTACCTGGGCTGGGCAAGAGATGTGATTTGGATTTGAGGGGGTTGAAAATGTTGAAGTGATTTTTGTCTGCAGGGACAGCAGAGATAGTCCCATTGATACTTGGTTGACCAGCTGGGTTTTCCTCTGCAGCCTTCTCTTTTTCTTTACCTTTTACCCACATGGCAGCATGCCTGCTTGATATGCTTACCAGCTTAGCTGAGCTTCTTGCGAATTGTAGAGTTCTATTCAGGGGAAAAACGCCAACTGAAAACTATTTGAGGAGGAAAAGAGACAGAAAATGGAAATGTATGTTGGTTGTTCTTAGCATTCAGACAGTGCTAAATTATAAGTAGCGAAACCACTTTGAAGTTCTGTAACCTCTTGCAGCAGGATGTAAGATGCACCCGGCAGGTTTGAGGTGCGTTGGTTCCAGCCCCACCTAGCATGTGTGTGGGAGAGGAAGCTGATTTTGATGAAAACAAATCACTATTTTTTGTGGGGATAATTTTCAGCAGGATTATCTTCTGTACCGGGTCACTCTTTGGTCCCAAGCTGGAACGGTAGCACGGGAATGCGTTACAGAGACAGGAATAGAATGGGATTGCAGCAACCTAGATTTGGACCTGCTGTAGCTGTTGTGGAATTATATTCCTCAGGATTCTCTGTAGCACCTTCAAAAGACTCCAAGAGTAGGTGGAGAGAATAGTGACTTTTGTCCCAGTCCTACATCTGCTGTGATCACTGCAAACCCGCATTATCTGTATTCCTAATCCTAACTTCAAATTCCGCAGCTTTGCAGCTGAATATCCTGTTCTGTGAGAAGCAACATGAACGGGATAGGAAAACGAAATGAGAATGACCTCTGCAGCCTGCTGGCATGCTTTTTTGTGTGATCTTGTTTAAACCAGATTATGAAACAGTATGATTTCAGTCACGTGGTATGATTATCATACGTGATGTGTTAATGCAATTAACATAGTGGTATTTTCCATCCTGATTACTTTTGGGCAAGTTGTGTAACTAATGGAATACTAGTTGTATAACTAATGGAATACTTAATGTAACTACAGTAAATTATATTCTCCAGGGGAATGAAACTTGCTCTCAGTCCTAGAATGATGAGATTTGTCTTGTTTATTGTAACAAAACTAGATTTTTTTTCCGTGGAGTAATGTACTGGGAAAAAAGGTGAACGCAAATCCAATGCAGACACACAAACCAATAATTTTTAAAGGGTGACATGACTCAAAAGATATCGAGGGGTAGTATGTCTGTAACATGCTGCGACTCCTTGGCAGGCAAATTAGCATTTATAATTCTTTATTAAGTGGGTAGATGTCCCACAGCTAGCAGTGAAGCAGCTCACCTGCATTTGATTGCGTCAGTGGCGCACTTGGAACCAGAACTTGTCAAATTCCACATTCTAGCCATGTTATGCCACCTCCTGTGCTAGGAGGGGGAGAGTTGCTTACAACTGCTGTGCTACTTTGATAGAGAAATGCTAAAATTAAGAGAAGTAGTGGAAGTGTTGTGTGAAGAACTGCCTCCCACGAAGAAGTAGTTAAAAATATTGTGGAAGGTTGTTGACAAAAGGTGGAAGGCAAATATTGTCCTCTTATCATTCAGCAATGTGGGTACATACGATAACAGATATTGTTTCTTGTCCACTTGCTGTTGAAGATTGGCTTTGTGGATGATAGCTTCTCTCCTTCCAGTTGACAAATGTTGCATTTTTTACTTTAGCTATTTTATTTTGTACTGCTCTAATATTTTACCTAGCTAATACTTCTGTACTTTTTCCTCCTTCTACAGTGAGAAGGTCAACAAAGGGATTGGTATTGAAAATATCCATTATTTAAATGATGGCCTTTGGCATATGAAGACATACAAGTGAAACAAAAGGAACTGTGTTACTCCAAAGGAATGCACTTAGATTAAATGTGGACTGCTTTGTAATTCCTTGTTTTTAATGTGACTGAATGTACAAACTATTTTGTTCTGTGGCTATGCTAAATAAATCAAGTGAATGCAAAAGTACTGTTAGACTACAACAGTTTTCTAGATTTCTTTTTATTGCAGTTCTTTTGTTTTGTCTAAACCCCAAGTCTTTGGTGACTGAAGATATCTGATGGAAAGATCCTATGTGGATTGTGAGTAGATGATTTCAAACAAAAAGGAGGAAAAAGCCAAGAAATGTTTACATTTTATGCTCTTCTAAAAGAGTAATATAAAGTCTATGTGAAATACAATTAATACAGTTTATAAAACCTCTGAAACATTTCAGATTTTTTTTCTTCTGATTAACATCTTGTTAGTCTACCTGTTTCTTGAATATGGAGAAATCAGGTTTTTTGACATTTATTTTTTAACTTAATTTATTAACAGCATTAATGTCAGTATTTTACTTAAGGATTTTCTCTTTTTAATATGCATTTATCTGTATAGGATTTATAAACTTAAACTGGCGTGTGGACTGGAAATTCCTTTATGCTAGTTCATATCTGAAGAGTGTATATATGTTCAAATTTCTACCTGCCAATGCTGTTTGATATCACTCTCCTTACAGTGGAGTTTATAGTAATGGTGGGCACACTCCAAATGGAGCCTGTGCCGATGTGGTGCCTGATGCTCTACTCCCTGTTTGCCGCCTTATTTTAGGAGCAGAAACAAAATCACTGTTTAACAAAGGCATGGTAGCAAAACATGGTTATCAGTGTAGCCAGGAGCAGCTTCTTCAGGTGGAACTTCAAAAGAGATCTCGGCTTGTGCACACTGCCACATGTATGTACCCCTATGAAGGGGTTAAAGAGCACTGTGTGTTTGTCTGGATAATCCCACTCTGTTCAGCGACTGCACACCCAAAGCTATGCCTATGGAAAACAGCCCGTGCCATGGAATCAATTAATAAACTAAGGAAACTTTAAGGTCTACCACTCATAACTGTCTCTGGAAGCATTTATTAATATTTCAAGCTAACACTTGTATTTTATAATGGCAGAATGTAGTTTTGTATGCAAGTGCCCTGTCTTGGTGCTGTTCTGCATGTTTGGTTTTCCCCACCCTGGAGCTTTACAGAAGATGGTGGCAGAGGTGCTCTCCATACTAAAGATGGTTCTAAAGTCTAAGACATGGGAAATGGAATGTGTTACCTGATATGTGCTACCTTTAAATTTCTCCTGTAAAATCATTTACACGATTGTACTTTTGAAAATGGTAAGGTAAATCTGAAACTATTTATTAATGTAGGAAGACAAAACAGCAGTGTTGCAGAAAAAAGTTTGGTCAAACCTCAGACCTTCCCTTCAGAGTGCTCATGGACATTTTTATGCATCTTAAAGACTCTGTTGTAAATTTACTAACTTCTTCTTAGTGCTATGGGGAATCAGTTTGTGCTGCATAGAACAAACTTGTCTTGAGTTCTGTGGCTTTCTTTTTACCCTTCCATTTTGTCTCCTCCTGTTGTGTTACAGTATCTCCCAAATCTATGATAAATGAGATCTATTCTGTTTTGAATTGTTAACTCCCATTCTTTTTCCTTGACTTGCCCTATGACTGCTGATGTTGCAGTGGGATCAGAACAGTCTTCAATATCAGAACCACCACTGAAAACGTTTTACTTTCTTTGTCTGACTTTGCCAGAGTATTCCCATCTACAGATCTTAACCTTTTAGAAATGATTCTGTAAGTGGATACAAGTTAAATCATGCTTAAATTAGTCTATATACCAATTTAGTGAAATGTCAAAAATACTAACAAGTTTTATCTGGATTTTGGCAGCAATTGTGTGTGTCTTGCTATGTCAGCTGAGCTCTGACTGACAGGGAGGAGGAGAATGCAAAAGGTGAGACAAGGTGCACCTTCTGCAGCAGCTGAGCTGTGGTAGCTTGCTTGGGGCTCTGAGTAGTTGTCTGACCAGTCATCAAAAATTGAAGGACCTGATGCTTGAAACACCCCCACCAACACCCTCCCTCCACCCCCCTCCAAAAACAAAAAAAAGAGGTGGATATTCTCATTGGCTCTGAAGCAGCTCATTTGCTTCCCTATCTGCCCCCTTGAACCTCAGGATAGGATGAGGTATTACAAATGGTCTGTTCAAGGAAGGTGAGGTAACAGACTCTTGTCTCGGGTCTCTTAAGGATATTGTAGTACCAACACAGCCTATCATAGTCCTAGGTGTAGCAGATAGATGTAGTACCTTCCTTAAGTCGTGAAAACATCCAGGTCAGGTCAGTGAAATCTAAACAGAGAAAACACCAAATTGCTGTTTGTTCCCACTTGCTGTGCCTGGAAGGGGGTGTGACCTGGTAACTTGTATAAAACTAATTCCAAGTGCACTCAATTGCAAAAAACCAAAACAACTCCCCAAAAAACCCAACAACAAAACTAAAACCCACCACACAACCTGGTATCGGGGAGTTCTGCATACTGCTTTGTTGTGCATACAACCTCTTGTGCATAATACTCAGAGAAAGGTTGGGAGTACAAGCGTGTGTTGCTCTTCCTGCATCATGGTGTTAAAAATATTTGTAAATGTATTTATGCTATGTTTGCATTGACAGTTAACTTCTTCCTTGTAAATACTATTAGCACCACTACTAGGAATGAAAACAATACTGAACCTTTATCCTACTATGCTTATATATGAAGTGAAATTTTAAATAAGCAGTTACTCTTGTGCTAACAGGCTACCTGCCTGTGTTAATACTTACACAGGTATAGTTTACTCCTTCATTTGCTTAAAACCAGCAGTCCAAAGGTCACTCAGAACTATTCTGCTGCAACTTCTAACAGATCTCTTGTCAGCTTCCTTCCTGCTAATCCCCTACTGGGGTAGGAGGCTGTACATAAAGTGATAGCTGCTGCATAAACAGCACAGCTCAAGCTTTTGTGTAGCCTAATGTAAAGGAATGAACTTAAAGTTAGTCTTTGAGACTGAATCTGTGGTCAGTTTTATTGGTACATCTTAGAAAGATATAAAGACATTCTAGAAATGCCTGGAAGGATTGAAAGAATTGAAGTATTGCAAAAATATATTTGTAACAGTAGACTAAAGTTCACTTGAGTTTTCATTAATAAATATTTACATGTACAAACCCCCCATATAAACTTAATTTCCTTTTCTCATAAACAACTTCTTTATCACTTCATTCCAGCACTGTCAAAAGCCAGAAGCATTTCTGTATAAAAGATGTAGAAAAAAGTTCTCCTTCCACTTCTAAAATCCAAGAGCTTTACCAAACCTCCATGTGCAAAAAAAAAACAAACCAAAAAACTGTACACCAGTACCACCAGATACAAAAATGGAATCTGTCAGTACAAACGCATGTCATGAAAAGAGCTGACTCCGTGGCTCCAGGTCTTCTCTGAAAAGATGTCAATCGTTGTCGGAGTCTGCAGGCGGAAGGAAGACGAGTGCATCGTTGTAGGTGTGGCCATAGGGTCTCAGCCTGTAAACCCCGTACATCATCACGTGCATGTGGTTCGGGGCCAGCCCGCTGAAGGTGATGGCCATGTCAGAGCAGCAGCCGTCCACCACCTGCTGAGGGTGAGTAGACATTGCTTCCTTAATGAGAGCACCGACTGATTTAGTGTTAAAGACGTCTTTTCCTTCTGAATCTTCCGCGTTTTCGGCGAACACTCCAGTGTACTTCAGGCAGATTGCCAGCTGTTTATCCTCAGCAAGTTTCCAAATCATACCTCCCTGCTCCGGACACTTGTCAGAGTCTTCAAGAATGTGGGAGAGTCGTCTTAGCGATTCAATGCTTAAGACGATTCCTCCCTCACCAACTACATACTCAAGGTCACCAGATTTCACCGTATGGCCTATATAAAAAGGCTGCGAGGGGTCTTTTTTCAGTAAGAAATACTTGAGATTTTCAATAATAGCAAACGTAGTTGGATATGCAAGGAAGAACCAGTTGAATTCATCTTTATAGCGTTCGTATGTTATTTTGTAAGCTTTTCTCATCATCACCCACATATCGTTTGTGTTGAGGGCTACAGAATCAAACACTTTGACGTTTTCAGAGCTGTAGAATTCCACCTTGTCGCAGTGCTTGCTCCAGGTCTCTTTCACTGCAGCCCAGTGCCCCAGATCTTTCGGTTTCACAAGGATGATACAATAAACGCGGATACTTTTGCTAAGCTCCATGCGTTCACCTTCCGAAAGGTTTAGGACGTCTTCTTTGTTGGGAGCCTGGATGTGATGGTGCTCGTGGTGATGTGCTTTAGTCCCGTGGCCCACCTTAATATGTCCAAGGAGCGTAACCAACATGCAGAAGGCTCCTCCCAGCACCACACCCTTCACGAAGGAGCTGCTTTCAGAAATCATTTTTCCTAGAAAGGAGACGCACGGTAAGAGCTTGCAGGAGCAAGTTCACTACTGCAGGTTGCCTAGGGTTTGGTATGTTCCTCAGTTTCTAAATCCAGCCCACGGTTCCCTTCACTCGCGCACCGGGGCAGCGCTGGTGAAAGAGGGGCGGCAAAAAGAAAGTTCCCAACCCCGGCTCCCGTTACCGCTAACGGTGCGACAGACCCCCCGGGGGGCG